ACCATGGTAGTGAATTAAATTACTGCTGTACTATATCAGTGACGTAAAAAAAAATAATGGTCTTCCTAAAATGTCTCCCCCACTTTGGAAAGGCTTAGAATTTTAGAGATGTATAGTGTCTTAGAGATTATCTGATTTAGTGTTCCATAAACATTTCTGAAGTAAGATTTTCCTGAGAATATATATCCACAATACAGATTTTCAGGCTACTCGTAGACCCAGGAGTTGGTACTTTGTAACAAACATTCCAGATGACTTAGTCAGATGTGTTTGAGAAAAACTAAGTTAGTTCAGCATTTTAATTTTAGTTTTTCTTATGTGGTCTAGACAGGTTTACGTGAGTCATCTACATTTTTGTATTGCATAGCTTTTCAAATGTTTGGATTAGTTCAAATGTTTGGATTAGTTTTGAATCCCGTTGTGGGAATGGTAGACTGTACACCCTTAAAATTTACCTTTTCTGTTGAGTAGAACGGTATCATTCATTTGTAGGAAAAGTGACAAGCCACACATTGTTTTGTATGCACACTATTTGATTTTCAACCGGGAATGATTTTGCACCCTAGGTGACGTATAATAATATCTGTAGAGATTTATGATGTCACACTGAAGGATGGTACTACAGGCATTTAGTGGACAGAGACAGGGATACTAATGATAGTGCAAAATCCACCACCACCATCAAAGTGGGACCAATGTATCAGTCATGTCCAAATTGGGAATCCCTGATAGACATCTGATCCCTTCATGTGCACCATTACTCTGAGATACTGGGGGTCATTTGTTTACATATATACTGGGCTACACTTAGATTGGATTTTTTTCTCTTCTGTCCAGACATTGAAACTTGCTTATTCTCTCTTGATTTTCTCAATTATGTATGCTTTTACCTTTCTATGTTCTGTGCCTATATCACTCACATTCTGAATCCCCACAGGTGGTATAAATGACAGTGTCAGTGTCTACTTATTTTGAATGGATATCGGAGCAGAAATTTTAGCTTTAATCTTGACAAAGAGACTGGAATTTTTAATTTAAAGTAACATTTATTAAGTCATGCACCCATAATCCAGTATCACACATCCATGATCCAGCCAAAGCCTCCCCTAAGAGTTTGTGATGCTTTAAGGGGCCATGTACTTTCTGTACTGAAATTGCAGATGTGTAAATTTCCAGCACGGAGTCTGGGCACATGATCCAGCCAAAGCCTCCCCTAAGAGTTTGTGATGCTTTAAGGGGCCATGTACTTTCTGTACTGAAATTGCAGATGTGTAAATTTCCAGCACGGAGTCTGGGCACATAGGTACGTACTCATTAGATGTTAGTGTTCTCTTTAGAGGTATTTTTGTGGACTTTTATGATTTGAAATTACTGGTAACAAGTACATTTTCAAATCTATATTTTCTGCCTGGAGTTCAGTGGAGGTCGAATATTACCTATTTTTTCCTGAACTGAACTTCAACATTAGTGTATAAAACAGATGATACAGTCTTTCCTTTTTAACATCATAGCACACTGCACTCCCTTTATAACTATTTTTATTTATTCAAAACTTTTTTTTATTTTATTACCACAGGCATGAGGGAACTTTTACTTTGTTCTTACTATCTAGGGAAACATCTGTCTTCTTCTACCTCTTTGTAGTCTGTTTTTAATACGTTTTATACTTCCTGTGAATATTAGATCCTATGGCTTTAGTTCTTTCAGTAATATCACACAATATTTACTATAGAAGTAGGTCGTGTGGAATTAAGCAATTTGGATATTTGCTCTAATCAGTGGATTTCATGTCATGGGTTTTATTAACAAAGGTAGGCACAAAGTAAATGTGAAGGCAGTTGAGACAAGTATGGCTGATGCCAACAAGGAAAACACAAGATGGAATGAGATTACTGTTGGGGTTTTTTTGTTGTCGTTATAGGATGAAATGCTAACTATAAATTACACAAGGCGTTCCTAAAGGAAAATTCTTAATAGACACATATTGCTAGAAGAAAATTCAGGGCTAGATGGGGAAAAACTTCAAGGATGTGGGGATATGAAAGGTGTAAAAGGATAAACTAAGCTGCTGTGGGACACACTCAGTGTTACTAGAAGCAGAGTTTCAATTGATCATTTCGAGTAATGGAGTAATGAAAGCAATTTGTCATAAAACAGTACACGTATGTCAGTGTCCCACTAGAGGTATTAGTTACCACGAGTGATTCCCCACGTATGTGCCTTCCTAATAAAGACTAAAAGCAATGTGTGGCATAAATGCTTTGCATTGGATTAAAGCTATACTGTCACACACTAAGCCTTTAGATTACTCTTTAGTTACTCTGAATTCAGTTCAAGTGAAATCTTTGATGCCTTTTGGTAGGGAGATTCATGACTAACAAGGAATGACTTTGACTGGAACTTCAGAAGAAATTAAGTTGGCTCTGCTTTGCCTTGTTTATCACACTCAAGGAGTACCACTTACAGGGTAGAAAGTAAAAGAGGTTTTGCTTCTAAATTGGGAATAGAGTCTTTTCACTTAGCAAATCTCAGTGAACAATTACAAGTTTGCAGGTACTTACTTCAGGCTATTTTGTGTATGTGTTGCCTACATTGGGCCCATAGTTCACATATGTCATTGCTAAAGGGCTTGAGCACTGTTTGACAGTTTGCACCAAGAAAAAGAAGTCAACAGAGTTTTTCAGTGGGTTTTTGCTTCTAGATTTCTTAGGTTTTTGTAACCACCTAAGAAGTAGAAGGGTTAGAACTACTAAGAAATGCATATCTGACTTAGTTTAGTTCTTGGTGTTTACTTGCTTCTTATGAGAATACTTACATTTATATA